ATTTTCTCAGTGCTGAAGTCAAGACCTTAAAATGCTTCAGGTTTTACCATCTTAAACTCACTATTTATCTTGAGGCTGCCTTGATTAAAATATTATATACTCTAGGGCATATTAAACATGGCAATTTATTGTAATTCTTATTAATGGAGTGTATTTAATGAGTTTTCAGAACCAACTCCTTCACGTACAACACACAATGTTGATTTTTATTGGGTACATAGAAAACATACTGATGGTCTGATTTTTCGGGAGGTGCCCAGCACTGACAGCTGCCCTTGGCTCCTGTCACAGCCGGGCAGGAGAAACGCTGGTGCTCAGCACCTTTGCAGCCTGGCCAGCACGGGATAATTCCTCCCTTCCCTCTCTGCTTTCATTTCCACTGCGGTGTGCTGGACTCGAGCACAAAACAACGCCAAATTTTGCTTGTATTTTCAGCATCTTGCACTTAAGAGTTTTAGAAAGTATATCTTCTTAGTTGTTATTCATGTTGCCCGTTGATGGGTGTCTGCCACAAGGTGTGACAGTCCTTAAACACAATTATCTGGCTCTCCTGAACTGTCTGCACTGCCTAATTAGCATCTTTTGCAAGCGTTATTTTCTCCTTTATTTTTCCCTTTTCACTTAAATGGATGCATTATTAGATGTTTTGTTATTTACTTAAGACTGCTCTGAGCTTCTTGTTGTTCATGAAGTGCGACTCTCTGCTGAAAAGCAGCCGGGGAAAAGTAAAGGTATAAGGTGCAGCTTTAAGATTAATATAACACTGACCATGACCAAGAAATCACACAGCTTGAGAGGAATTTCGGTATTATTGTTATGCTCTTAATGTGGGGTGGCAGAGCCTTTAAATATTTCTGGTAGAGTAGTTAATACAGCATGGAAGTTTGATATTTGTACAGTTTGTAAAGGAATTTGAGGTGTTACCCTATTTTGACTTCAGTTTTCAAGTATGCACTGGTGCATCATTAATCATAGGAAATGCAAAAATAAATAATATAGTCCCTTTGGATTTTTCATGTGAATACTTACCTTTTCCTTTTTTTGTATATACAGTTGAGGTATTTAGGTAACCCCTAACCTTTTGCTTCAACAAGGAGGTACAGTATAAAAATATTACCACAGTCTTCATATGAGCAGTTCTCTCTAAGAAAACCTCTAGATGAATATTTATTGAAAAAAAGCAAAGTTGCAATACAAAATGACTTAGCTTGGCCTGAATATTATATTTTAGACCACCAGTGAATAAAATTAAAAGCACATGGATTTCGAATAACTAGAAAAGGTTGTAATTGATTAGCACTGCATGAAAGTATTGAAGTAGAGTAAGTTTTGATTTGTGAATGGTTCTATTCAATAGAGATTAATCCTGTATGTTTGATAAAATCTTAGTGCCCCTAATGAGGTAGGGTTTTTTTCCCCTCTCCCAGTTTATTTAACCATCAGATATTTCAATGTTCTTCTAACAAACTGGAACATTTTGATCTTGCTGAATTTTACATCGATGTAGTTGATTTAAATAATGTTGGCTATTAATAGTCCATTTGAGACAGATAATTAAACAGATCAGTGCATTTTGCTGCCCAAGAAGCCTGTGAGTGGTGCAGTGCAATTCTGCAGGGTTTGGGGCTCTCAGATACCAAAAGCCTCAGTGCGAAGCTGCCGCTTTCTTGGTGCACATGAAAATAGCCATTATTGCAGAGTTTGCACTATTATTTTTTTAAAGTCCTGGTATTTTAGATTATATTTTATGCAAAGCATAGTGATTCCTGAGATTTTGCTTAGCATTCACAATAATATGGATATGTTAAACAGAGCTGGAACATAGAGAAAACTTCTGCTTTCTATACACAGATAATCAGAAATGATTTGTTTCTCTCTTATCAATATCCTAATTAAAATAAAAAACCTCTAAGATTCCTTACCAAATAATAAAGCAGTTGAGAATAGAGATGTACAAAAGGTTTGGGTTTTTTGGATGAATAAATAAGAAGGTATTGTAGAGTATTTTAATTAAGCAGAGTAATTTTTTTTGTTGTAACTTGAAGAGTTTAGGTTTACTGTGTCTCTCTGTTGGGATCAGCATCCAGAAATTACATGTGAAATAATTGATTGAATTATCAGCCAAATTGGGATCTGATTTCCTTTCGTCAGAGAAATCCTCCTATTCAATAGAATAGAATAGAAAATGCCTTTTTTTTAAAATTGTAACTGTTGTTGGAGGCATTTCAAAAAGATTTCGCTCTCTGAAATACTTTGTGTAAACGATGTTTCCTAAATTTTATAATAAATAGGCTTTTTTTTTAAATTTACTTAATGTTTATTTTCAGCCATTTTTCCCCCCTTCAAACGCTCTGGATGTGAAGACAATAGCCTTTGCTGGTTGAAATGAATCCACTTATTTTTAAAAGCTTGAGAAGGTTTACATAGGCTTGGTGCAGTCAAAGTCTGGGTATAATTGACACAAGGAAAAATTGGAAGTGAAACACAGTATCTAGTTAATGCAAATACACTAAATTGGAGAGGAATATGTATGTTCACATGAATAGGAAAGGATCCTTCCTCGTTGCTACTGTTGTTTTTCCCTTTTATATGAAGTCAAAACCACGCAGACAAAAATAAGTGGAATAAAAATTTTCAGGAATATGGTTAATGGCAAAGATGAGCAGCCGTGCAGGTTAATCGTAGCGCTGTTTTCCTGCCTATTACGACTTGTCATTATGTTTCATCAGTTAAGTCTTGATGAGAAACAATTAAATTCAAAAGTTCTGAAAGGAGTAAGGAGGACATGGGAGCAGAAGGAGATGTAGACAGTACAGAAAGGAAGAACAGATTGTGGGTTCTGACATGCTACTGTATCACTGAACAGCAAATTCTTGAGTAACTTGGGTCTTTTGGCTTTTCTTCTTTTAAAAATAAACTCTGTCTCCCTTTTTATAAAAGTGGGTTTTTAAAAATGTTGTCTTTAGCTCAAGATATATTGCTTACACATTGATAGAGTTAATGAGATTTTGTAGTCCCTTGCGTCTGTTGTTTGTGTCCAAAGTGAAATTTGGGTACCCAGCCCTATTTAGTGAAGTTTGGGGCAAGTATTAATCACAGTATCACAGTACTTCCCACTTGCTTTAGGAATTATCAGAATTAGGTGAATTAAACAGTCAGACTCCGTGTTTTGATAATTTTAGCCAACTAAGTTTCTTCTAATCTCTTTTGGAAGTAAAAGCAAAAGAAAGTCCCTATACATGTAAACTGTATTTCCTGTTGTAAACACTGGGATAATGTGGTCTGGCTATGCTTCTGCTGTGCTTCATTAAGACACCAGTTTGGGTAGAAAAGCTGCTTTACCGGGTTTGTGTTTGCATTTCAGCTCAATGTTCAGGGTATTACAGCTGCATGACCAGCCAGGGGTCATGGTATCTCCTCTGGTATCTATAGATCATATACTAAATTGATCTTCTCCCTGGAAGAAGCTGTTCTTCCTTTCTGTTCCTACACACGGTCTTAGAGCTTATTCATGTGCTTAACTGGGAACCAGTCAAAGCGTGTGAAGTAGGAGGGGTAAAAGGAACCCCAGTCATCAATTCATTACAATAATGGGGATGTATAACTGAAAATGGTTCTAGCATTGTTGTTTTTCTTAGAAGGGGGGCAAGGGAGGAAAAGTAGGTTTAGCTACGGTCCCAATATAATTTCAACATGATGGACACCATTAAGAAAATCTTGTAAGTTTTCACTATTTTTTTTTCTAGAGCTTTCAGAGTTTTCAGTTAGTCTTCCTGATCTGCTTCAGTAAAAGATGCTTTGAAAAATTTTTATAACTATGCTTCTTGCAACTCATCAAGAGTGACCAGAATAAAGCATTTACCAATGCACTTTAAAATATAATTTCATTTTACTTGCAGATAAATCTCTTAAAGTCATCTTTGGTTCTATTTAATATTTGTGAGTGAGATGCTCTCTATTGATTCTAAGTCTGTATCTGAGATAAAGAAACTTTTCAAAGTAAGCAATGATAGAGGTGCAATTTTATAGTGTATTCATGATTTTTATGAGCATTTCTATGTACAGTACGTATAAATAATTACCTCAGTATACATATATGATTTCTTAAAGGAATCTGTGTTTACAGTTCAGAATATTGAAGTAAATATTTGGCAGTGCTCTTTTACAGAGTTTTTAAAATCCCACTTTCAATTAAACTTAAAATTCACCAGCATGTTAGATCATGTATTTTTTTATTTCATAGCTTAATATTTTAATGCATGAATGTTTTGCCTTGTTCATAATAAGTGCAATGAGAAGAATTTGCCTTTACAATTGAATATATTATCAAACAAGCTTTGCTGTGAAATGAGAGCAACTAAGGACTAGAGAAGTGCAGATTTGCACTGATAACTTTATCTGAGTTATATGCTTAAAAATCAGATGTCTGGAACAATGAAAGGGCAGTTTTGGGTAGGATATGCTGCCATATGCTACACAGTACTCATTTTCATCCAGTTTAGAGAACAAGCAGCCTGAGCTCCTGTGATCTAAGTCTTTTACAGTATCTTTCATTAACCAGTCATGGTGGAAACATCTGAAAGTGTTACCAGAGTTCTTAATGAGATTCTCTGTGCTGTTGTTGATTAGCTCACAAACTACTTTATCTTTTGCCCTAAGATAATATTAAACATTTCACCAGATCCCATCAGACCCTTCCAGATTTGTGCAGCTACACCTTGACCCCGGTGACAGCTGAGCACACACCTGCTGTCAAACACTAAGGACTAAGCCACTGACTTCCCTTTGCTCAGCTTGTCAGCTCTATTACGAACAAATTTGTTCTTAAATCTGCACAAGTTATTTACAGTTACTGCCCCCCCAAAAAACCCCAACGACCAGGTATACTGTTTTAACACTAACATCCCATTCAGCATTTCTTAGCTTAGATAACTATAACCAGCATTGTTGAAAGAAATCCCGACAAGGGCAAACAGAAGCTCAAATATTGCAGCACTTACCCCAAAAGAAGTTTTGCTGACATGGTGTCACTGAGCTGAACAGGCTGTTTGATGCCATAGTCCCTGTCGGTTCACGCGGAGCTTTCACCTCCTGGTGTAAATACTTCTTGGATCCTCAAACTGAAAACACAAACCATAGCCAAACCTTGTTTTAGTTTTACTGTGTCCCTGGATTGCATAGACTCTAGAGTTGGTTTTTTCCCTGTCAAAAAATTGTGTAGCACTGGTAACACGTGAAAAGCAAGGAAACAAAACAAAAAAAAAAGAGAATGAGCAAATATTTGAAGGACCTACTATTACTGCATAGACTGTGGTTAGAGAGCACTTACTGACTCTGTTGGTCTCAGTGGCTGGTAGTGACCTGCGGAGATTAACCATTTAAAAACCAGAGGCTTCCTTGCTGTCCTCCTGGAGAAAGTTTGCACCGCACTTGTGGTTCTGTGGTTGTTTGTGAGGCGAATGAAGCATTCACACAATCCAAAAAAGCAAAAGCTTTAAAACTCCTTTTTTTTGCAAGCACTGTTACTGGAGCGAGCGAGTCATGTGGCTGTGACATCAGAGGACTCCAAGTAGGACTGCCTACACTGTGGCTTTTTCTTTCTCTCTCTCTTTTTTTTTTCTTTTTTTTCTTTTAATTTTTTTTATTTTTTTATTTTTTTGTATTTTGACAAAAGGCCCGTGGTAAGGCCCTTCCTGGCATCAAGAGGGATATAGTTTTTTAATTTTTGTGACTCATGAGGCTTTGGAGAGAGTACAAAATGCTGTAAGAGCCCAAACTTCTGTACAGTTAAAGCATATGGACAGCAGAACTTTATTTGTACTCTCAGTTCAGGTTCCCCCCACTCTTCTTCCCCCTCCTTTTTTTTTTTTTCCTTTTTGTTTTTCCCCTCCCTTCCCTCTCCCTCCTCCATTATTGTGTCTGTGGAAAAGTGAGCAAAATTGGCACAAGTGGCTGTGTGAAATTCTGAACAACAGTGATGATTTACAATAATTTACATCTTTGGATTGTATCACGATCTTGGGTCTGCTTCATATTTGCTGGGTGGCTGGATTCCTTCTGTTTTACTTTTTCTCCTTGTCGTCTTATACTTGTGAATCTGTAACTCATTGTAAGAAACTTTACCTTTGCTAAGGTCTAGTAGCAGGCTGCTTGTTGGACTTGTGTTTTTTACTGTAATTGGCTGTCACAGGAGTGTTAGTCTGGGGATTCCTTTGCAAATCCTAAATCATGACTGCCTTGCTTTACATGCCTTCAAAACTACTTGGCAGTTTTATGTAATGCAAATTAAGAGCAATTATGTTTCCTTTATATTTGGGGCAAAATATGTCGTTTGGATATCATAAGTAGTTGTGTGCTGCAGCCTGAGTGATGCTTTGGAATACCGGTGTTGGGAGGATTTTCCGTGGCCGTTGTGTAGCAGAGTGAGCTGTGAGGGTTGGGAGGATTTGATTGCTCTCACATTAATTGCTTATTACACTTGGGGTGTTTAAGAGAAATAGAACAGTCTCAAACTTTTGGGGAGACTATAAATAACTGCTAATTCGCCAGCTGATGTTAACACTTAGTTTTAAAATGAAACATAAATTTGATGCATATGTAAGGTTCAAATACTTCATATCATCTGTGTGCTTGTGTGCGTAATACTTTTTCATATACTTAACATATTGTAACTTTGACTTTGATTGTGTAACATAAACCCTGACTGTACTGGGATGGAGTGGGTTAACAAAAGCAGTATTTTTTTGTTTATAATAGAGGCTTTGAAATAAATTGCAAAATGCTGTGTGTAGTAAGGAATAATGGGCACAGACAGTGTGTATTAGTAGTCTTGATTTGCTCACTCAGATTCAGAACAAAATTGGAAACATCTTTCAGAAAGTATCTCATTTTTTTGCCTCTTTGGGCATTATATCTAGAACTTTTCATATTATCCTGATTGTATCACAGATGCACTGTAGTTTTTAAGTTTTAGCTGAGTGAGTTTAATTTTTTCCTTTTTTTTGTCATTTTTTTTTTGGGAACAGAAGAAATGTGTAAAACATATTCTAGATATTGCTCAGGTTTTATTTGTAAAATAAAATACATCTCTTTGAAGCTGCCATCCCTCCATTTTTTATTTTATTTTCCTTTGTCCTCAGCTTTCTCAGTAAGAAATTGGCCAGCAATGGTGTGATATGAATAGCTGGAGGTGTGGGTGGGGAGCAGGTTCTCTGTTTTGTGGGAATGAGAAAAATGAGAAAGGATTTTTTTTTTTTTTTTTGATAAAAAATACAGATTGTGTTTTGATTTTTCTTATATATTTATCAAAGCAACATGAAACTGTTCATAAAACCTGCTTTCCTAATAATTATTGTAAGGTAAATTGCACTGTTCTTAATTCAGTACTTTGAAAGTTTAGATATTGCCAAATTTATACAATTCTACCATAAAATGAAAAAGAATAATTCTGCAAATAACCCATCTCATTTAAAAATAAAGGTGATATTTAATTCTCTTAACCATGGATTGCTTTTATTTTTTTGTATTTTCACAGTATGGTTAAGAACATCAGTGAAAAAAAATTTAGAGGTATAAAAATGATGGAAAGAATGATAATATTTTCATATATACAGAATATATTTGTGTGCATTTAAGTTTTAATCAGCTTGTGATGCAGCAAAAGCTTTTGGAGGTTGCTGCCTCTGTTATTTGTGGAACTCTTAATTGTGAGCTCAAAGTTTTTTCAGCTACAGTTGTGCATTGAAGATATTTATCAACTGATGGTAGGTAGGTGCAGTATTTTTATATAATAGATAACTCATGTCTTGATCTAAAATACTTGTTTTGATTTATATGAAAAAAGTTGTTTGATTTTTTTTTAAAACTCCACAATTTATTCTTAGTTCACATCTTTACTATCAAAATATTGAGCTTCCTAGAGAAGTCTGAATTTAAAAATTTATTGCATTGAAATGCTCTGCTCAGGCTTTCTTTGGAATGGCTTTTCCCTGCTTTCACTTGTGTATGCAAAGTTATTCTCTAACTTTGTTTCTAGTTTGATATGATACCTTTAAGATTTTTTTTTTAATGTATGTACTTTTTCACCTGTTCAGATCAAGAGCACTACAGGGATGTCTTCATCTAGAAAGGCAAAATCCATTAAAAGCAGAAAAACAAATAGTGGAACTGAGTAATGGGAGATGTAGTTTGTAGAAAGTGTCACTGAAAAAAAAGGCTGTTTTTTTAGTATAGAGACATTTTAAAGCCAAACTTGGAGACCAAGTACCTGTGAGACCAATGGCTTCTTTTGGTCTAGTTTGCACTTCTAATGAAACAGATGCAAGAATCCTGAAAATCCACTGTATAAACCAGTGCCTTGATTGCAGACGAGCTCCTGACAGGCTCTTGTTTAAAAGGTAGATCTGCGAAAATGGAAGTTCGCTTCTGGGTTCCATAGGGGATGCTTTGAGTCACAATTACGCTCACAAAGGAAGTATTATGCTAAGGAATGTCTCTGGTAAACTATGAGCTTGATTTTTGACGACAAATGAAATCTTAAAAGTCAATTGTAATGCAACACTAAAAGATAATTACATCTTTCACTGGTTTTGAAACGTGTTTTGGAACTTTTAAGCTGTGCCTTATTTCCAAACGTTTTGCCTTATGTCACTCAAAAGTTCATCCAGCGTATAAACAGTGTGATACCCTGCTGAAAGTTTATTTGTATTTAAATGTTTGTTTCTATGCTACAACTGGAATGGTATAAATATTCTGCTTAGAACAGCGTGATGACAAACTTGTTAAATTGCATTTGCTTGCAAGTTTTACGATATATACTATAACAAGATCCTGATTTTCATAATACATTGAGTGCTGGTGCGGTTTCCTCAGGTGCAGGTATTCCCTGTGGGTGTTGGTAATGTATCTGTTTCCACTAGAGCAGCTTCTTTTTTTTTCCTTTAAGGAGTGAAACCTCTCCCCTTGGCTCTGTTTTTCAAACTGAGGAGTAATTATAATTTTTGGAGGAAGAGGACTGTGTTTTCTGATGGTTCTTAGCCAATACATTTAACATACTGTTCGATTTCAAATACTTGCACGTTTTAGGAAACTTTTGTTGTTAGACTTGGATATCTTGTAGACCTCTCATTTCCAACATCTCTGTGACAGCTCAAGTGTGCTGATACCACTTTTATACAAATCTGTTAAAGCAAAAGCTAAAACTGCCAAAACTTGATTAAAAAAAACTTGCAACGGCAAAGTTATTTTAGCATTCCTTCATTTTGAAAAGATACTTATTGGTGTCTGCAAGCAAGAGCAATGAACATCTGAGTGTTATTGCTGCCTTTCCATGATGACTTTGTGTTCTCTGCCTTAGAACCTTTTTCTAGGTGAGATATAATTTGAAGTGGACAGTTCCCGGGACCACTGAGCACATAAAGGGGAAAAAGTGCTGTTACATTTTTAGGGTAAGCAAGTGTTGTCTGTTTTTTGTACAGTGCAATCAGGCTACCGAAGATCACATTAAACCTTAAACTGAGCTGTTCTTTAAATTAAGAAGATGGTCATCTCTTACCCAGTGAGTACATTATATCATAGCAAGGAGTAAAAATGGTTTTCATTTCCTTTGAGTTACCAGCTCTCTCACTTCTTCATGGCACAGCAAAGATGTTTTCCAGTGAAACAATCTAACCCCTGATCAAGCTTTGAATAAGGGGCTACATCTTAATGGTCAGATGTGTCTCACCTTGATTCTTCCTGCTGCTCAGACATTCTTTTTTGGCAAGTATTACTTTTCTTATGTTCCTCAAATACATATCTTTTAGATTGTACAGCAACTGAGGAAAAAGCCCTCTGGTTAAATGCACCCATTCTAAACAGTCAATATATGGTGTTTAAGATCATCCTAACCTTCTAGCTATTTTCTCCTGTGTCTTTTTTTTTTCTTTTTTCTTTTTTTTAAAGTCAACTTGCAGAAAATATGGGAAACTTGTCTCATATAACAGCTGAGGATGTGGCTAGGTTAAGGCAGGAAACTGCTACCCACAATGCAATGTTACATACACTACCACTTAATAAAATTTATTTCAAACATGCTACTGACAAAACCAAAGAAAAATAATATCCTAACTATGCTAGTTAGTACACTAAATATATCTAGGGAAAAGTGAAAGTAATCTCTCTAGAGCCTTTCTTGCTTCTGGGATACAATGCTACTGGTAGTTAAACCAGGGCAGATCTCAGAAGTTGAGAAGTAGTGACCTATTTTTAGAAAATATTCACATTGCTCTGGAAATTAGTGATTATGTGCTTTTTAATAGCAGTCAAAGTTATTTTATATAGGCAGAATTCAGATAAGCTCTCTCATTAGATTTTTCTGGTTGGCAAAATATCCTCTTATGTAGTTTTAAAACTGGCAGCTTTTCGTGCTCCATCCCATTTTCAGTGAATCTTACCTTTACTGTAGCCAAGCAGCATTTTACCTCTCTTCCCACTTAATCTATTTGTAGGTTGGTGTGAAAATATTTTCCATGTCGTGTGTGGGAAATGAACTGAGAAGAGGAAAGTTCATCTTCCTTGACTGTATGAAGATTTAAGAGTTCTAGTTGTGTTATTTGATTGCCTGCCGTTTGAAGGGTGTAGTCGTTTGTGAGAGGTAAATAAATTAAGTTGAATTCTAAGATAAATTTAATAGACTTGAATCTTCTGTGAACATTTCCAAATCTTGGACAGAGATATATGAGATCACTGATGCTGCTGTGCCATAAATGCCCTGAAAATCTTGTTCTAGATACATTCTGGTTTCTGTTTGGTTTTAAATGCATGTATGTTAAGGGTGATCCTCTTACAGAACATTTTTGAAGCTCTTGCCTCTGTAGTCAGAGAACACTTATCAAGAACAGCTGCTGGAGTGCTGTGGATCCTATCCATGGACTCATGGTGGTCTGCTGAACAACGTTCTTCAAGTTTGACAGGTGAGACAGAGACTCTCCAGTGCCACTGCTTTTGGATGAATCTAGCTGTGGTTGGAGAAAGTGCATCTTGCCAAAATATATGGGTAAGACCACACACAGCCTTTAAAATAGTTATTGTAAGCTTATTTTTAGGCAGTATATGTCTTGACAGTTCTTTTATTTGCATGCCAGTTTCACTGCTGCTTATAGATTTTTTCATTTATTTTAGTAATGGCAATTGCAGATTTAGATCTATGTTTGTAAAGCTTTTGCACAACATTTACCCTGGAAAAATACAGACTTGCTACTTTCAAACCTCAGTCAAGATTAGAGAACAGATATTAAAAAAATGTTAAAGCAGAGTATTCACACTCTTCAGATTTGGTGTCAGTGTTTTTATATTCAACCCCATTTTCAGGGGCATAGTTCAGCAATAAAAATTTGCTTCTGGTTTTAAAATTATACCAATTTTAGTAGCTTCTGTGCTTGTATAAGTCTGCAGCAATGTAGATTTAAGACATGAAATTAGTTCAGTAAGTAATAAAAATGAAATGTTTTTTTTTTTAAATTGCATAGTTATTAAATACTGAATTTAGAATCTGTATTTTTTTATATGTTATAACTCCTGGACAGTATTTTTCATGTATATTTTAATGTGTAGAATATTCTTTGCATTCTAAGTGCCTACTTCAACAGTTGGCTCCATAATGTGTATTTAAAATACTGTATGTTTAACTGACAGTGTAGAAGGGCCTTGCACCCTGTAGAATTTCTGAGTAAACAATACCCATTTGGTAGCTTTCAGAACAGATGTTTTTTAAATACCCCAAGAGAAATTAAATATAATACTGAAATGGAATATCATAAACCATTCATTGGGTAGTGATGCTTAAAAGTTATGGATCCACAACGACATGTTTTTTTTCCCTAGTTCTGTATTTTCCAGATAATCTTGCATAATTAATGCATTACTATTTCTCAGCAAAACATTACTCAATTTTTTTATTACTGAACATTGCATAGGAGCGTTGTTTATCGCAGTGGACTTTACAGACAATTAAGGAAATAGTCCCTGCCCTGAGGAATATACAATTAAATATATGCAGCCAGCCATTTAAGAAAAGTATGAAAAAGAGGGAGGGGAAAAACCCCATTATAATGAAGTGTAATAAAAAATGAGTGATTTGAAGAACTTCATGGGGTAGTGAGAGTAGTTACTTGTAATTTTATTATTAAGTTTCTCCACATATTCCAGCATGAAGAGTGTTGGTTATTTGTGTGCAATTGGCTGATCTTGGTTTCTGCTTGAACTTGAGCAGGATGGCTGATCATCACGGTTGCTTCTTAATTTTTTTGGAAATAAACCCCCCAAAAAACCAAACCCAACCCCATAACATTTCCTTATGCAGTGAATGCAAGGGGAAATGCTTCTGTGCTGTTTGTGATACTTACATAAGTTTGAGATCCTCAGATCTGTAAACAGTATTTTCTAGGAGAAAAAATGTAAAATCAGATACTTCCATCCTTTCTCCCATTTATCTCTCAATGTCCTTTTTTCTTTCTTTTTTTGTGTGTTTTTCTTCTTTTTCTTTAAAGTGTTTAATACCTGGATTTACTACTTTGTCACAGCTTGTCAACAGTGTAAGCTTTCCCTTGTAATTAAAAATGTATTGTGGTTTTCTGTTGGAGAAGAGATCTGAAGATCATTCATGAGAAAGAGTTGAAAAGAGGATGAGAAGGGCATGGAAGGAATAAAATTGGAAGGAGAGTTAAGAAGAGAATCTTGGGTTTTAATGAGTTTTGCTTTAAACAAAAAAAAAGTTTTGTAGAGAAGGAATACTGAAGGTGAGGAGAAATGAAGGCATTGGAACAGGATGAAGAACAAGAAGATGTCCCTCTTTTCATGGGGTCAGCACACGTAGGAGAAAATTGCCCTCTGGTCTCCCAGGGCCTGTGAAACCCAGTTTGTTCTGAAGTGCCTGGCTGGGTTTGGGGTGGTGTTGAGCTCCTTTGGAGGGAATGGGGCTCTCTCTGCACAGCACTTAAAATGGCCTGTGCAGGTGTTCCTAGAGAAAAGTGGAACTTGAGGGACATTGGGAGAGTATGGGAGATGCTTGTATGAAATGTCGAATGCGTGCTGGGTTGTGTGCAGAGTTGGTTGGTTGATTTTTCACACCTGGGGGAGAAAGGCAGCATTTATAGATGGGACATTCACCGTTGTCCAGATAAGCAGGTGTCAATTCTTTTTAAGTTTTTTTTTTTGTGTGTGTGTGTCATACTTTGAGAATAACAAACTGCTTGGTAACTGAATGGTGGTAACAGAGAAAAAGTACAAAAATGAATTGGCATCATTCCTTCCACTCACAGCTCTTCCTCCTCTGACCTTCCAACCCTGGAAGTGAGGAAGCAGAGCTCTTTTTAGAGAGACCTTGTGGATTGATTGCCA